AAATGCTACAATTGTTCTTCATTTAATCACTGTTTGCTTAATTCTCCTAAACAAAGCCACCAGTAAAAGTCATTTTCATTGAGGCTGAAAGAATTAAAACACAATCGTCTGATAATTGGTTGGCAATTGATATTCTGCAAGGACTGATTGATCCTTGCTGGCACGCTCAAAATTACCATAATAACCTTCGAAAGCCAAAAAGCCAACAGTAGGTTTGTTTAAAATACGAATTGTCTTTTGTAATTTTGAAAATTACTTTACGCCCCTCCAAGTTTTTAATCACATAACAAATGACATGTTTTATTAATAAATCGTAAAGTCAATTGGCAGTTTTATTGATGTTAGAAATATATTTCAATTAACAATTTAAGTAATTTTATTAATGTATAGAAGAGTAGTTAAATTTTTTTTTCTATTAATTTTTTTAAGTGAAAAATCTTAAAAAGCGTGTATTTGTAATTTCCAAAGCCACGTAGGATATTTCGTATTTTAAGCAAATATTAGGGGAGTATATTTGTATCTTACCTTCCAGTTTGCAGGTTGGGGTACTCTAAGGGTTTGTTTGGGATGTGGGTTGGCTTTTAGCTTTTTTAGCTTGGGGCTAAAAAGCTTGATTTGGGACAAGTTTTTTGGCTTTTTTGAGAAATTACCCAAATGCCCTTAGGGTGAAGGTGTTCCCCTTTCCTGTTGATTTACCTGGGTATGTGGATTGTGTGGCTGACACATTAGCCGATTATTTTGGTTTTTTTTCTTTTTTTTACAAGAAATTAATATATATATTTTTTAATAATTTTGGGAAAAATTGAGAATTTCGACGTTTTTTTTTTTTTTAAATAAGGCAAACTTGTCAAAAATTTTATGTCAACGATTGTAATCGTTTGTTGGAATATTTTTTTTAAAAAAATTTGGTTCATATTTTTTGAAATTTTTTTTGCAAAATTACTTTTTCTCTCCTTTTACCCAATTTGTTAAACAAAAATTGGGTAAGTCATACTCCTAGCTTTTACCCAAAATTAAGTTGACGGCCACATATTACGTGCCCATTTTAATTTTTTAAAATTTCTAATTTTTCTGTCACAGTCATCAATTCATGATACCGCAGTTTGCCATCATGCTACCATGCTTAATTATTACAAGTATGTAACAAAATTTCTCTTTCTCTAACCCAATAATTTTACAAAATAAGGCACGTAAACCATTGAAATTTCATTTTTTCGTGTAAACACATACATATTGTACAAGATAATACAATCACATACATCTCAACCGTGGCTGAACAATATTACAAGCATACGAATAGTCAGTTGACTATTATATGTTCCTAACATTCCATTATTATGCATGTGCACTAACTTGTCCCGTATGCAAAATCACACCAATGCCATATGCGGGTCCTCATCCCCAACCATTAAACCATCCTCGTCATGTACAACTTCCGGTATGGCATTTACTATTGCCATAGCCTCTTCCTCATTGAAAATTAGGTTAACAGTTGCTGGATTGCCTGTATTTCTACGTATATAGTTATGCAACGCCATTGACGCACCAACCAACTAAACTTGCACATTTGCAAAATCATACTGAGACATATATTGAATAAACCTTCATAGATTTTTCCATGCGCTGAAAGTGTGTTCCACCACACGTCGTAACAACGCGTGAACATTGTTAAATAATTCCCTGGGGTGTTTATTGTCCTATGCCTTTCAATAACACGGAATTGTTGTTGGTGGTAATGGCTGCTTTTGAATGGTGCTAGGTAACCTATGCGGTTCGGATAGCTACCATTAACAAGATAATATTTGCCTACAAAAATACAAGAAATTCAAATTACAAACCAAATTTAGTATTTTTTTTTTCTCAAATATTATGTACCGAAAATTTGGAAATGCAACATGATACCTTCTTCAGGATATAGAAAAAGGACATTGTCATTTGTTATTATCTCATTGAAGATGCGACTATCGTGTATACTTATTTCACATCCAAGCAATACGAAGGTGAAACATATGTCAAAATTGCACGCCGCTGTGATATTTTGAGTATGACAGTATTTCCTACCAAAATATGTTTGAATATCTGGTCTTGTAACCCATGCAGTAACATGTGTTCCATCAATGTCTCCGATACAGTCCTGCCAACAACCCAGTTATCTTACTAGTTCTAGGAGTACATGAAATGGTTTTTGTTCGAATGTTGATGACACCAAAAACACGCTGTTTTTCACACTCCACGTCAAAATTCTTTCTAAACATTGAAACAAACTTAACTGTGTGAGGTTTGAAAATAGCACCTTGAAATGTAGGTCTTTCCGTTTAGACCGCACGTATGGATGTATATAATACTGGCTATATGTTGGCCTACAATATGCAATAGTGAACTCCTTCATCACTGCTAAAACATTATGCACGTGCCGGAACACAGTCTTTCCCGAATGTTGGAACCGTTCTTGGATATCGCGATTATGAAACCCTCTCAACACGTGGATAAACATTACAACGCTTTCTTGAACAGTTAAGCCATGTTCACATTGTGGTACTTGTAACCCGAAATCATTTACTAACGTGTGACACAAAGACGTAAACACTTCCTTCAGCATGCACACATTTTTCTCAAATCAACCGAGTCAAAATAGAAGTGCAACATGGTGTCTTACACATGTGTTTTTCATACCACTCTTGGACATACTGGCATGCTTGGAGGAATGTCCAGTTATTTTGTTGTTGAAGCTGTATGGCCATTTGGTTAAGCATTTCCATTACACCGTCATTGTTGCTTCCATCCCCGGTGTTCATTACGTCGATTTCAGCAACACCTACAACATTAGGAATGGTTGAAATCAGTTTACACGTGATGGACTGAGCTAATGTAATTACAGTTCTGAAATACATTGTTCGACCTTTAAAATTTTTATTTTGCGTGACCATGTCAAACATACCTAACAGACGAGTACAACTGCATGTAATAATCTATCAAGCCATAATAGAAATACACTAAACCTGCTGGTACTTAGTAATATACAAACCAAGAAATATTTGATTGCATTACCAACACAACCAAACAAACAGTACAGAAAGCTAACAAAATAAATAAATAAGTATGACGCAACAACCCGCCGTTGCGAATCTAATTTCCATAATAAAAACCAAACACATATATGTCTTTCATCCTAAAAAATACACACAAACATCATTAAGTGGAAGTTACAATAGAGGTGGCCATGTATTCCATCTAATTTCCATAGCCACAGTCATACATCCGACGTGGCCATGTAGTGGAAGTTGCAATAGAGATAAAAGAAGCCATGGTTTGTTTTCTGACCATGCAAAAGACTAAAATACAACAAATACGTTAACATGTAGGTGGCACATCATTCAGAGTTCAGGAATTGTATAAAATGAGAAATGTCCCCATTTGTTAGTAAAAATGGGGTTTTACAAAGAAAAAAAATAGCCACCAATCGATTCTCAATTGTCCTAATCAAAAGCTCTCATCATCTAGCAAATGCCCTACACCAATCCCCAGTTGGTGCTTGTACAGTTTTTTTCCACCAATTCTGCCTCTTTAATTCCAATTCCATGCTAGCTCTATGTGTATGTGTGTGTGTTACCAACGATGAAATTGTGGATCAATATAGTAAAGTGGAAGTTAGGCACCTTTGGGTTATACAATACAACCATGAGTATCTACTGAACCACTTACAAATACAAGATCAAGTGTAAACATTTATAAAAGTAGCAAATCTAATAGTTGCAGATGTAAGATAAACTGAAAAACTCAAAAAAAAAATGACAACTTCAACAACAACCACCAAACAAAAGAAAGAAAACAAAGAGGTACTTCAGCATTTCTAACCCATCAAAATTCAGATAATTTTCCACATGCTTTTCAGTCTATAAACATATAAATGTTTTATCTTGCAAAACTCTAAAATTCAATCCATACACAAGACATATACACAGAATGTGGGAAAAAAAATTGAGGACTCATACCCAAAAAGCGGCATACAAATGTTGCCCAGAATCAAAGAGATGAGGAAAAAAATGTAAAAAAAAGAGGTACGTCAGCATTTGTAACCCAACCTTTTTTACATACTTTTCTAGATGTTTTAACATTAACACATAAATGTTTTATTTTGAAAAAATGTAAAATTCAGTCCATGCACAGGATATATACAGAATGGCAAAAAAAAAAAATGAGGACTTATACCCAAAAATCGGCATACAAATGCTGCCTAGAATCAAAGAGATGAGAAAAAAAAAATATAACAGACCACGCCACTTTATAGAGATAAATTTTGTAAAGAAAACCCAGATTTAGATCCATCAGAATTAATGGACCATCTATCATTATACACTGGTTTTCCCACATGCCAAACAAACAAAGAACATCCACACAACAAAAAATTGGACAATTACTAAATCACCACTACAACAAAAAAAGGTTTTTACGGTGCGCAATGCACAATGTAAAAAACTTTCTACGACGTGTAGCGCGCTTCATATTATAACCAATTATGGAAAGTCATTCATTTTCAATGACATGCTTCGTACGCCGTTAAAAACTAATTAACGGCATATTTTGTGCGTTGTTGTTATTTTTTCTACGACATGTTATAATACGCCGTTAAAAACTATTTAACAGCAGATTTTGTGCATCGTTGTTACTTTTTCTACAACTACTTTTGCACGCCGTTAATTGGTGAAACAAATAACGACGCTGATTGTGCACCGTAAAATATATAATACGACGACTTATTATGCCTGTCATAGAATATGCAATTTTTTTAAAATTCTTTTAAATTCAACAGGTTCTATTTGACCAATTTTGTACAATCTAACAAATATTACAAATAAGCATCACAAAACATCTATCAACCACTAAAATATTATTTGAAACACCAAAAAGACACTATATCCATAAATTATAAACATTCAACAATTGTCTATACATTCCAAACATTCGAAAACTCTATCCTCAAGTTCTAAACGGTACAAAAAGTTTAAACCATCCAAAACTATGCATATCTAACTTTCTAAACATATCAAGAACTATTAAGAGATTATCTAAAATTACCGACAACAGTTCCTATAGTAGTTGCAGCTGCAACTGTAGCAAATCCACTTGCTCTTATCACAGGGACGAGGGTGCCCAATGTATGTGTAAAGGCACCTAAACCCATGGCAATAGTTGAAGCAACTAACCCTGTTGCATTTCTTGTCTGCATGACAAAGGAAACTACAAGCAGGATATCTTAAAATTAACTCCATGAATTACTTAAATTCAGAAAGACAAGAAATCAAAGAAAAACTAAGTCGTATTCCCAATAATATAATACCTTCTTTTTTTTTTCGTAAAATAAGCATTAGATCGAAGAATCAAGAAGCAACAAAGTAAAACCACTGAAAAGTAGCCTGTTAACATAGTGAAAAGCTAAAATCATACCAATGGTGATCTTCCATCATAATCTGTCTTCTTAGGATCAGCTTCAGTTTGGATCAAACTTTTGAGTTGATACAGATCTCCATGATAAGCTGCACTATTAACTCTTAAAGCAAGTTTAGCTTCTTGCTTTCCAATATGATATGTGATATCAGATTCTAATTGCTTCACACAAACATTTGATTTTTTTCCCTGTCAACTTATACTATTTTAGGCATTTAATTCATACAAATTAATTAATTCGATAAAGTTTATGCAAAACAAATGAATATGCATTTGTAGGTATTGATGCCATAGGAGAAAAAGAAGTGCAAGAAACAACATAAGAGAGGCAATCACATTTTAGCACAACTGAATTACCTCTAGAAGGTTGATCAAGATTCTTCGCCCATCATGAAAATATATGTCAAGGATATTTGAGAATGGTTGTTTATCAAGGAGCAGAATCATACTTAGCTTGCAAACTCGAACAGTATAAGGCTGAGGTATGTTGCAAAGAATAGAAATTTCACCAAATAAATTGTTAGGTTCCAAATTAGAAACAGTCTCTTCTGATCCATCTGCCCCTATATCGACCTCCTACTGTACATAAATAGTCTTTTATCAATATTAAAATGCGATAAACTAGTAACGACTTTCCTAGGGAACTACTTATAAATACTCTAATTCAACATAATGGTTATGTTTCTAGAAATGTAAATGGCAATGGCAAGCAGGTGGGTTCAAGATAGGCATTTATTTCACAACCCTGTCTACAATAAACAAAAATTTTCAACCATGAAGATCCCTGAGCCCCTCTCTTAATGTTTGTTCTTCAAGTA